ACCAACTCTGCTGGAGCAAAACGGTAAGGTGCCATAGAAATCGGCTTTGTGCCGGGCACTAAATCAATAGAGAACTCTATCTCTCGGTGAGGTGGCAAACTGACGAGATCCTCGGGAAAAACATCTGAATACTCACAAACCACCCTTGGCAACATAGTCTGGGTCTCATCACACTCACCACTCAAAAAGCTAGCAAGTAGACCACTAAGCTCACTCCGCCCTCGCGGATCACACACCGGTGGCAACACACTACCAACCCGATCCCCCAAGAAATGGAAACACTCCCCGCTCAAGGTACAAACTGTGACCCTCTGGCGGTAGCAATCAATAACAGCCCGGTATGACGATAGCCAGTCCATACCCAAAATAACATCAAAACCCTTCATGGGCATAACAACAAAGGGAAAAGGAAGCCTATGGTTGGCGACCTTTATATCACAACCTCTACATCCGTGTTTCAAAATCTATTCACCCCCAACAGGTGATACTACACAAATAGGAGATGCTAACAGTGCCAACTCCAACTCCAACACAGATGCAAATGCAGCAGATACAAAAGAATGGGACGCACTCGCATTAATCAATACACTAGCAACCGAGTTGCAAAACAGAAAGGTACCTCTCACTACTGATGGAGCCGGTACTAGGTCCTGCACGGTAACAGCATACACGCGCCCTATAGGCCCCTGATCCACCTGCTCACCTCTAGGAACAAAAGACTGCTGCACTGACTGGGATGACGAAGCTCCCGGATTGGCTCTCGAGGCCTGCACAGACTGAGCTGGCTGATAACTCTGCATCTGCCTAGAACTAGACGCTTCTGAAGTGGCACTCAACTGTGGGCAATACCTCTTCAGGTGCCCAGGCTAACCACACTGATAGCAAGACAAAGGCTGGCCCCTGCCCTGACTCTGGCCCTGAGGTCTAGCTAAAGAAGAAGTAGCTCGTTGACCCCCTGTAACAACCTCTGCGGGCAAACCGAAGACTTGTGACCCAGCTGGCCACACGCAAAACAAGTCAAGCTTCCCTGACTACCTCTCCCAGAGCCCGCACTCGACATTGGAAAGGTCGATCTAGCCAAACCACCTTGAGACTACTGAGGGTTAGAACCCCTCTGTCTCCTGCCGTCACCCTGACCATATTGGCTCCTCTTGGAGCCTCTCTGAGACTACGAATCGCAAAATTATTGGGCTTCATTTTTTTCTTTCTCAATGTCATATTTGCTTGTCTGTGGATACTATTGGAATGTATGTGCATGTAGCTCACATACACATAGAGAAGTACTTGGTTTTTGTATTGTGTTGTCTGATTCTTGTGTTTACTGTGGAAATATGTGTCATATTTCGTTTCGCAAAGTCTTTGGTTTCTATTTTTTACAATTGAATGTGACAATTGTATCGGTTAATGGAATTTATTGGAATGTATATTAATGTTAATCTAACTTCTCTTTGTATGTTATTTAATTTGGGTTGTCATTGTGCAGATATAAAATTGAATGCGATTAAATGTGGGTTGGGCGACGTTGTGATTATTTTTTTGTAGGATGTATGCTGCGGTTAATGTTTCATTCATTTTGTTATGCAGGATATGGACATCATGCTTTTTTGCACCTTCGGTTCATCCACGGTTGCTGTCAAGGGTGTTAATGGGTTGACATTAAAACGTTTGATACAAAATTTATGTGATAGGTGGGTGGATGTGACACCATCATCGATTTCAATATCTTACAAATTACCGTGTCACGAGAATCAAGTGATGTTGTGTAATGATGTGGACATGGAAAACATGTTTTCCATTGCAAGGTCCATTGGCGTTACCCATATCAACGTTGTGATTGACTCGCAAAATGAGGTGGATGATTTGAATTGAGGTACTTAATTTAGTAGGACTATGTCTGCAAATCATCTGGATCCTGACAGTGAACCATTTACAGGTTCCCAACCTAGTGTAGATTTGTTGGCCAATTATTGTCACCATAGTGAGAAAATGTTGATGATAGTTGATTGGTCACATGGCATTAGTCATGTCGGCCAATGTTTCGAAGGGGGTGTTGCTGCTTTCCATTTGGTTTTGTCCAAATATGCTATTGAGTGTGGGTTTGACTTCAAATTTGTTAAAAATGACTCAGTTCGGGTTACGACAATGTGCACATTGCGAGAGCAAAAAGGGTGTTCATGGTTGGTACATGGAAGGGTTCAAACATGCAATGGTTATTTTTACTTGAAGAGGTTGAACAACTTGCATAGTTGTGGTGCTGTTGTTCGCACTGGGAAGAATAACAGGCTTAACTCTGAATTGGTTTGCAATGTTATCGGTGATCGGTTACGTGATAAGCCGCTTACACGTTCTACTAACGTCGTGTTTGAGCTAAAAAAAGGAGTACAACCTTAATGTTAGTTACCATGTAGCATGGTTAGGTGAGGAGAAGGCAAGAAGCAAAGTGTATGGTGACTACCATGCTTCATTTGATCAACTTAGGTGGTACGCGGATGCGGTTATGCATTACAACCCTGGGAGTTATGTCAACTTGGATTTTGAGCAGTCTACCGGCCGATTTAAGCGGTTCTTCATTTCATTCAAAGCTTGCATTGACGGATTCAACCATATCTGCCCATTATTGTTTCTTGATGGCACTTTTTTAAAAGGGAGATTTAAAGGCAATTTGCTTACAGCGACGAGGAAGGATGGCAACAAAGGTATGTCTCTTGCGATGATTACTTTATACTTCCATATAGTAACGCATTACATTGTGGCTAACCTTTTTTTTTTTAAGTCCACTACAGTAGTGGGTGATCCCCAATTGCAAGTTTGTTTCCAATTTAATGTTATTTTACTAACATTGTGTGTGGTGCGATTCGAATTGTTAACAATTGTTAATGTGGACGTAAACTTTGTTAAAAATATTTCATCTAAGGTAAACCTGTTGAATCTGGCAGGTTTATTCCCATTAGCTTTTGCTATTGTTGACTCTGAAACAACTGCAAATTAGACTTGGTTTTTACAGCAACTGACAAAGGTTGTTAGTAGTGCTCGCACATTAACTTTTGTATTGGACCGTAATATTGGGCTGCTTGAATCCTTGCCTGCTGTATTCCCATCTGCACACCATGCGGACTGCTTACAACATCTCCAAACAAATTTGAGGGACAAATTACGATGGGTTGACAACCGTGTACGTTTTGGTTTAATGGCGAAGTTGCGTGAATGTGTGTATGCTCCAACTGAGGCTTCGTTTCAGCAGCATTGGGAGAAGCTAAAAGGAATAGGACGATCTGGAATAAATAATTTCTTGGAAGATATGCCACCAAAGCATTGAGCCAATGCATATTTCAGGTTCGTACGAGACTTACATGTGCTAACATTGCAAGTACCCAATATGTGATAGTATTTTCATTATGTTTTCATAATGTGAACAGAGGCAAACGGTATGGGGAGATGACCTCAAACGCTGCAGAATCGTTTAATAAATGGATACTTGATGCCCGTAATTATCCAATCACAAGGTTGGTTGATACAATCAGAAATCAAATAATGACTATGAGGGCTGAGCGTAAAGTTTTGGCTACTAATTGGAATGGGTTACTTTGTCCGAAAATGGAAAGCCGTGTTAGGGAGGCGTACTCCACTGGTTGCACATGGATTGTTAGCCAGTCAAATGAAGACATATATGAGGTTCATTCATTTCCGACGGAGTTGGTAGACGTTGGCAAGCGTTCATGTTCTTGCTTCCAGTGACAATTGAACGGATTCCCATGTGCACATGCGGTGGTTGCAATACAGAGTAGTGGAAGGGATTTCAGTACATTTGTTGAACAATTTTTCACTGTTGATCAGTATAAAGCCGCTTATTTTGGATACATTCAGCCAATACCAACAATTGACAAACCCTCTTTCTCAAAAGACGACTTCATCATATATCCACCAGCAGTTAAATGTCCTCCAGGGCGACCCAAGAAGAATTGAATACCATCCCGGGGAGAGAAACTAAGTCAGATTAGGTGCGGTCGATGTGGGCGCATGGGCAACCACAACCGAAAGACATGTAAAGAACCAATTTAGTAATAGGCATTTAGCATTCACTTTTGTAATCTGTTTTGAACAGCAGCATTGTATTATTGTAGTAGCATGTATCGAAGCCAATTGGTGACAGATTTTAATAAGTGAAGACAGTGTTTACAATTGATCATTCAGCTATTTTTTCTTTCACACTGTCTCATTCATATGTTGATGTTACATGTTTACTTATTTGGTCATGCAAACGTATGTTTCAGACCTGCAAAGTACGTTAAACAAAATGTGTTGCACTCTGGCCTTGTATGTGAGAAGGCATTTATTTTGTAACATAGGTGGTGTTGTTATTGTCTCCGTTTGATAGGTTGTCGTGCAACCGGTTAGTCAATGTTAAATTACAACAAATTCTTGACATATTAAATTGTCAAAGCCAATCAAGATTCCTTATCACATTAAATTTGGCAATATCATTTACACAAACACATTCACATTCCTCTTTTTCCCACTCAGTAAGAAAAGTGCACAAAACTGTTACACATTCGGCACCACAATCTTGCTATTAAGTGTAGACAACAAAACATGTTCTAACAAACACAATCACATCCTATTTCACATTCACTATCATATAAACATAATAATTCACATTCACACAACCACATTCACATATGTATTTCACATTCGCAAAAATAGTGCACAACACAGTCATACATTCGCATTTGCATTTTGGGCGTAACAGGTATACAACCAAACCTGTTATGTCATTCACAATCACATCCAATTTCACATTCACCATCACATAAATGTAACAATTCACATTCACATAACCACATTCACATTTGTATTTCACATTTGCAAAAAAGTGCAAAACACTGTGACACATTCACATTTACTTTTTGGGTGTTACAGGTACACAACTAAACCTATTCTGTTATTCACATTCGCATTCGCTGTCACAATCACCATCACATTTACATACAACTTCACCCTCAGTCAACCACTTTCACATTTGCAATTTCACAGTCCCTAATACAAGTACCAAACATTGCCATACATTCACAAACACAATCTGTGTATTAGAAATGAACAACCCACATTGTTTTATGGCATTACCAATTACATTCACATTTACGCAACCACATTCACACTTATGTAGCCAACATTCTTGCTGCCCTTAAATTCCTATTGACATTACTAAATGACACATAAAGCCATATTAACAAAATAAAGTGCATTCCCAAAAAAATCAATTAACCATTGTTGCCTACTCCCAAAACAAAATATACTAATCAGTAATCCATATTCACAATGCTATGAAAAACATCAAAAACTTCCAATTTTTCCTGTGCTAGCAAGCTTTTAATACCATTCCAAAGCAAAAACAGTATGATTATATACCCAAAATATCAAATCTGCACCTATATACCACCATCAGTAGATAATCAATTGCCAGCCACAAATGACCTTCTCCTGTCATTCACAAATGACTTCACCATACCGGCTCGCATTGTTCTGCAGCTTTCCCCTCCCATTGACTTGTCAACATCTAGGTGACGCACAAGTTGCTTCATAATGAAGCATACTATAATTCCACAATCATTTCTATCACGAAAATTTAAGTCATTAGTAACAATGTCAAAAGAGACCACATGCAATGTACGGAAAACATGAATGGCATACGTTGCAAAGAAACGTAACAAACTTACGAGTCTGGTTTTTGTTGTGGACAATAATCAACCACTAGAAGCTCCTTCACCAAGTCTTGTGTTTCAACTGTGCCCACCTTCAGTCTGCGGTTTATGTAATCCTCAAAGTAGGATTTTTACATTATTGTCAAATATATATTACAATAATTAGTATTGTTGTCCAAAATAAAATACAAATATCACTGCAAGAAAGTAATTGATGTTTATTAACCAGCAATGACGCTTTCCAGTAATGTTTGTCTTCCCTCCCATGTCTTGGTTTCATAGAGTTGTAATTCAACCAAAACCCCTCCTCAGTGTCATAAACCATTAGTGTCCAATGGTTATCTAAGTGGATTGGGAATTGAATATATCTGGCCTTCAGGGCATGCGGGGCACGCAATGCCAAGTACCTGTCACGTACATCTTCGGCCACATCTCTTATCGTAGGCTGCAGACATTCATTTTGGAAATTTAAAATGACAAACTAAAAATGACAATATTCATTTCTTCAGTTGCATGTCTTACCAAACATAATGTGCTGAAAATGTATGATTTTTCGTCATCCGCGGATTTAGGCGACTTTATCTGCTGCTTGTACATCAGCATTTCCGCGTAGGCATCAATGACCTACGTGAAAAAGAAAACAATTTTTATTTTTCCTTCCCTTGTATACATGTACGTAAATTGCATTCTATGTGAAGAACCTTCAGAAGTTTGACGAGTAATTAGAAATACCATACTTACATTGCCTCGTAATGTCAGCCCCTTAACGATCGCCCGTATGTCATTGAAAGACACATAGTTGGACACATGCGGTCCAGTCTAGACTTGCGCACTACAATACATTTTTTGAACAATAAATTCATGTACAAATGCATAATGGTAGGAGCAAGTTGTATAACCTACCTGTTACCCCTTTTCTCATATGCTTCTTTAAGCTTGTCTTTCTCTTGCGTTGATAACAACTTCCAGATTGGTAGACGATTAGTCAAGTCGAACTGAGAAAATGTCCTATCTGGGTCTGCAATGTTGTCAACCTTAATGATGTCATCTTCCATTTCTTGTTTACTATCACACTTACCCTCATTGACCACACCACTATCAGATGGTTTCATCTGCCTCCCCAAAACCAGTGGATATTCATACTCTGGCAGTTTATGCTCCTTCCTACTTTTCTTTTTAATGTTTCCCACAAGCGAGTTTTGCAACGCAGTTGTTCCAGTGTTTTGATTAATACCATCCATTAAATCCACATCACATGCCATTTGCCCAATGTCGTTGATCGGGGTCACATGAGTATCCACCCCTTGCAACTCTATCTTCTTATTTAAATCAGATGGAAACGATGTTGACAATGGCATAATGACAAGTACGTTTGCGTCACAGTGGTACATTTCCTCATTACTTTGTTTCATCTCATGTACACCAGCAGCTGCTTGGGTGTATTCATGGACTGCTTACTCCTCCAACTGTTCCACAAGCTTCCCATTTTTGTCATTAAGTTCATCCACTAGCTGTTGCATCCTTTCAATGTCACATTCCTTCTGCTTATTGTTCATTGTGATTTCTTGTTCTAACTTGGCACATTTTTCTTCGTACGCTGCCCTCATTATTGCCAGTTCTATTTGTAATGCAAATATGACATCAGATTTACGTACTACTTCTATCTTAAGCACACCAATATCAAGCAGTGCTCTCTGGTATTCTTCAGACATAGATGCACCCCGAGCACACTGATCATTACTCACAGCACCAATCCCACTATGCTTTGAACATTCGGCCTTTGCTCCAATTTGTTTAACGTCTTTTGTCTTCATGAAGCGCCGTTCTGAATGACTGATGTGCAAATCTCCAACCACAACCTGGAAACAATTTAAAAATCAAAAATCAAAAATAGTAAATTGGCACATCTAATATTTACTCTAACGGTACAGAAAATCATACTTCCACATCATTTGGCTGCTCAATGTCCACTGCTCTTATCTTTGTGACTAACTTGCTAATATTCCATTTCATAAACCTCGGAAATCCATCTCCACGATCTGCTTGTATCAAGTTGGTGTGCTCACATATCCAAAACTGTGTGACCATGGGTTAAAAATATTAGCTATGAAAGTTTTTCAAAACAAATACAAAATTATATTGTGGGAAAAAAAAAAAAACAGAGCACTTACAAGTAGGGCAGTAACACATCCAGTAACTTTCTCAGGCTTAGAGTAAAATCCCTTAATTGACTCCATCAAAGTTGTGCAGATTGCTCCAGCCCAATCATATGCCTTCATGTTGTCTAGATCCTCTACAACCCGGACGAACCCCCATCCCACGGTCTCTCCTGAAGTAGCAAAGAATAACTTCCCACACAAGTACCAGCTCAGTAACTTTGCTACATCATGGTGATCCTGAGTAGTGTCCCCGAGTAATGCATCCATTAACAGTTCCTTAATGGTCTTCAAGTTTATGCGTGCTATTTTGGGACACCTTCGTTGGATGAAGTCAGTCGGGAGTCTTCGCCCATGTAACACATCTAAACTCTTCTTACCACCTTGAATTCCAAATATTAGTTGCATATCGATGCTCGTAAGCTCAATGTGTTTACCACCAATCATGAAAGCCAACTTAT